CTCTTCTTACAGCATCTTGAAACTCTTCATTTCCTGCAGAAATACTTGTTGTACGTTCAAGCTCATAGGCTGCTAATGCTGGTGACAACAGATAGGACAGATGGTCATCCCAAATAGTAGAAAGGCCAAGATCCTGTGAGGCAAGTCACAGAATGATGACAACCATGCAGAATGAACATCAGGATATGACTAAGGTTGCATACTGTATAGATTCAAACAAATCCATGACAAATCTTTAATTTGTAGTTAATGGAAGTGAACCCATGAAGCAGTAAGATTTGTATAGTGACTCACCAACTGGAAGAACCAAACACCACTAACAAAGTATCAAATACTTATTAAGAAACTAAGTTAGACTACTAGACTAAGATGACCCACAGGGTTGAAACTAGATGTTTTAGCTACAGTGTCTTCTTACATTCCATGCAGAGATACTGCACAAATACACGGCAAATATATGGGAAAGATCAACTAAGATTAACCTCACATTCTTCTAATGTCTCCCATGGAAACCCACTTCTGAAAAAACAATGCACAACAGCTGCCCAAAACCCATGCACATGTACATGCACCTTCCTCCTGCCATCCCACAAGTGCAAAAAAGAAGAAAAATCACGTATGTATTCAACAGTGCATGAAACTCATACTCGGAATTATTTGCCACTCCAAAGGCTAAGGATTGTGTGGGGCTGTAAAAACAAAACCTACCAAAGAACCCTGTTAAAAACCGACATAAACTAACAGGGATTTAAAATATTATCTCCTTTGTATCCAGCATAGGAAGGATAATTTCTGGCACACTACCCGTCTTGCAAAAACCTTGATAAAGGAAGAAATTAACTTGTAGAGATATGTTTTGATTTTATAAAGGAGTCAGAGTAAGATCATGGAACATTTTTGATGGATAGACCAACCCCAAAAACAACCGAATTTGATCTTCATATGTTTTTTACAGACCACCCCACAGCTAGTATGCAGGTGTCAGTCAGCTGAAGATCACAGATCTAGAACAAGTGGCAAAGACAAGGTCATAGAAGAGCTCACACATACGGCTACAAATCACCACTGAAAATAGTAAGGATGAAGCCTAAGCTAGCTCAATAGTCTTTCCAAGCAATTTTTCAGGTATTTCACTATTCATATATGGCATTTCTGCAAAAGCTGGTGGAAAACACATTGCAAAGACATGAGTATGTGAACTAACAAAAAGTCAGGATATCCAAAACAAGTATACAGTAAAAATATGCACCTTTATTACTGCAACAAATCAATGACAATCTTTAACCGGTATTACCTTTCTGTGTTCAGAGACCAGTATTCTCAGCTGCAACTCTATCTCATTGCTTACTACCGCAGCATCTATTGAGGAAGCACATAGAGGAGGGAAAGGGGGAACTGAAGATGTTGTTCCTGGGGAACACACAGATTTTATTGCCTCTCCACTCATGGGTTTCCATTTAGATTCATCATGCAGGTCAAACACACAGACCTCCACAGCATCAGAGGGCTGACAATTTCCAAAGAACTTCTGATGGTTGAAGATACAACCTATCGTGCGATATGGATACAGTGGCTTGGGTTGTTCAACTAGTGGAGGGTCATCAGGGTTGATAGGTCTGTGGATGTACCTAATCAAAACATTAAATTTCTCATTAGTACACCTTATTTCAAGGCAAGGTAAAAATAGTTAGATGGGATATATAAAAAAGCCATTTCTCCTCTTAAAAATGGTTTGTTAACATATTTCCCTCCCATCCCCCACAAATGGCATTCACTTATTTAGAGAAAATTATATACATTCTGGAGGCATAACATACAATGAAATACTGCATTTTTTTCTTTAAATCTAGAAAAATAAGCTGATTAATCCAGCAGATACTCAACAGCAATTAAATTTTGCAACTCTAACAACATACACAGCTTCTCCACTATTCATCACATTTGAAGAAAGACATCTTCAAATGCTCATCATTGGATACAGAAAAGAGAATTGCATATTCTCAACACTGGATATAAAGGGTTCCAGAAGCTCTGGAATACAGAACAAACATGTGTGCACTGATAAAATTACTCAAGTGAGAGAGAGTATCACAGAACTTGCAGAGATTCCTGCAGGGGAAAAAGTAATTTAACACTGATTTCACAGATTCTGTATTTAACAGAAAAAAAATGTATTCCTAAAAAAAAATCACCTCAGATTTCATCTGCTTTATAAATGATGGCAGTGATAGCATCAATGGCAATCAGCTACCAGAAAACACAAAACAGTCACTATATGGTATTAGAGACACTGAAAACTATACTACCAACTGTTGAAATATTTTACCACACATCAAATAAATTATTTTCCAAACAAAAGCAGTACAGAGAAAAAAGACTCAAAGACAAAAGTCACCTGGATTACATGACAGTTCCATGACAAGGTGCAAAGATAAAAACAAACAAACAAACAAAACCCTACAGAAACATCCTCTGCAAACCTCATACATGGTTTTCTTTTATTCCTTTTACTCACCTATGTCCTGTCAAGCTCTCCCAAAATGTAATTGTTCCATCAGTTCCACAAGTCATTACCCAAGTGTGGGGAACTCCTTTTGCTTTTGTTCCAACACACACAAAGGCTTCCAATCCAAACCCAAGAAGAAGACTGCACAGAAGGTTAGCATGATCTTCACAGTCACCCTATGCAGTAAGTATTAGTAAGCTGGTTTGAGTATCACGCATGGAGAGAATCTCCAAAGAAAGAAAATAGTGGTATTTATCTAACCACTATTTAACAAGTCATGTTTCCCCTCCTGTTTACCTAAAGAACATATTAGAAGTCAGGATTTTTAGGTTTAAAGTGCAAAGTTTGAGTTTTCTCTAAAACTAAAATAAATCAGTTTTAAATAGTACTTTGTTCTAACGATAGACTATTTTTTAAAATTCAAATATGATGTATGATTAATACCAGAAAATATTTCTTCTTATTATAAAGATACCTTAAAGTAATCCAAAACCAGAATCTATCAACCCATGAAGACAAAACCAATATTCTAACTAAATGTAAAAAAACATACATGAAGGCAAATACCCAAGGTAATACTAGAGATTACACAGTATTTTCACACAGCTAGGAAATTCAGTCACTTAAAAAATAATTCTACTGTTATTTCACTGCCTTGAAAAAGTTGTCAAAGGTCAGACATTAAACAAAGAAAAACACCTCCCCCACAGAGCTAACTATAAACCAGCTGAAAATCATGCATAGCTGCTTTTCCCTTCAGTCAGAAAAAAACATTTCTTTTATAAATACGTTACTACCATCGATAATTCACAGAAAACTCCAATGTGATGTCTACTATTTGTTGCCTCTTAAATTCTTCACAAATCTTAGTTGCAAAACAAGAACAAAAACTCCTCATGCAATGAAGCCTTCATAAAACAAAGCACGGCACACAGAAGCAGAAGAGTGAGGCTCTTTAGTCAAATACTATTCAGAATGTTGAAAATGTAAAATTCACTGTACAAGGAAAATATGCAGAAAAGTAGGTGTAAACAAGTTTCTAGTGAACCTGTGTCCATTTAATAATGCCACACCACTCTCCACAAGAACAATAGTAATGGTCCAACTGCTGTCTCAGGGACTAAATTCAGTTATTTTCTGTACAGCTTTCCATTTCTGCCTTGGAGGAAACCTTATCTCTATGCCTCCAAACACAACAGTCCTGCAACTCAAAGTTGCAATCACCACCTCCACCTGAAAGCCAGGGGGTAGCAAGTAGTGCCTTTACATGGTACCCATGCATGACATGACATTCAAAGACAAAAGCTAATGTCTCTTCTCTCTGGTCTGACATTCAGAGACAAAAGCTAATGTCTCTTCTCTCTGGTCTTTGAGATGGGTCTGAAAATTATGATACAGCTCCTGCTGCCAAGAATACATCTTCTTAATACAAACACAAGTGACAGCTTTTGAAAACAGATGTATCTCAGTGGCAAAGAAAAGCATCAACAGCTCCAAAGAGGTATTGAAATGGATCACTATTATTTTTATTCATACAACAAAAGAGCTATAACCCAGCATGAGTTACAATTTGTTTCATTTATTATATGATACCAGTGTCAGATCAAGAACTAGCCTGAAACTTTTAGGGAAGATCCTCACCTTGAAAAAATGTAATGTAAAAAAATTATCAGTATATTTTAATCCATGTCAAAAAACAGTTTTTTTAAAAAGTCTTTTTTAACTCTTCCTGGATTAGTCCAGAATTCAAACTAGTATCCTGCACGCTAGCAGGGATTCATTGAATAATTAAATAGGATCTTAAAAAAGCAAATTAAGAAAACTAAACTTACTGTCGAACAGATATATTGACAAATGGACCCAAACAATAGCATTAAAGAAAGTGTGTTCCAAAGCTTTCTTGCTACTATTTAACATCCTTTTTTCTTTAAAAAGATCTTAAACAAATTATTGTTACAGAATTCTCAAATTGTATTTAATCCATGTATTTCCAGCCTGTTTTAAATTACTGACTTCAGTTACACTATACAATTATATATGTACACAATTTCCATTGTGTCACACAAGGACTATTTTCACATACCTTGTTTCTACATAGAAAAGCAAGAAGGGTGCACCACTGTTCTTGTTTGCCACCACCCCCTCCGATGACAGGAGCTCTTTCATAACCCAGGACACTGACAAATCGTGCTGCTTGTCTAGGTGTGTCTAATAACCGCCCTGCTCGAAGTGGTCTGATGTATGAACATACTGGATGGTTTACTCCATTTTCATCCTGAACATATAAAACATGGTTATTTGCCAGCCATGCAAGTATCATGGAAGATTAATCTTAACTTGGACTGCCTTTTTTTTTTTTTCTTAAATAGGGTTTATTCTCCCTGAAATAACTATCACTCAAAAATATTGAGACAAAACTACTTCCTGAATTAAGACACAAGATCATTAAGGCAATCCAAATCTAGAGACATTACAGTTAGATTTTTCTGCTGGCTCTGTCATTCATAGGACATTCTGGACTACATGTTCAAACACCTGGAAAAGCACAGGCTGCAATTCATTTTCCTAAATGGGTGAGGCACCACTCATGCTCCACTCACTTCTAATTTTCACATTATCGTCAAGAAAAAAACCAAACCAAACCAAACCCCCACATACACCAAAACAAACACTAATTTTCACATTATCGTCAAGAAAAAAAACAAACCAAACCCCCACATACACCAAAACAAACCCTAAAAATAACCCCTTTAAAAACTAGTTTTATATAAATTAACAGAGTAATAACACTAAGAATTTATAATTTCTTCAAAACAAAACAAAACAAAAAAACGATGACTGGAACAAGGTCAGTTTTATTACATGCTTTAAAGAAATACTATTTGAATTATTTCAAGTAATATAGAACTCTTCCTCATTGGGCCAAATTGGTATTTTTATGTTTGTATGTTTTTAACAAGGGATGAAAGTTTTTTTAAAATCTTTGCAGCTTCAAGAAATTATGGTCTTGTGTTTTCACTGCAGTTACATACTAGATGGGTGTAGAAGAGGCTGGGAGGGGACACAGCCAGGACAGCTGACCTAAACTGACAAAAGGAATATTCTATGCCATATAGTGCCACGTTCAGCAATAAAACTCGTGGGGTGGGGAACTGACTTTCTTAACTTGCCACTGGTTGGAAACTAGCTGGGCATCAGTTTGCTGGTGGAAGGTGGTGAATAACTGATTTTGCATTGCTTTTTTTCTCACTCTTCCTTTCTTCCCTTCACTTATTAAACCACCTTTATCTTGATCTTTTTTTCCTCACTTTGCCCTTTCTGTTCTCTCCCTCATCCTGCTGGGGTGGAATGAGTGACTGGATGGGGGCTCAGCTGCTGGTTGGGATTTGGAAGTTCGTATCACTATTTAACACTCATGGTACAGCCAGAATGGAAGCTGTTACTTCACTGAAGAGAAAGAGGAAGAACATTACCTTGAGATAATAAGCTACTATGCATTATCTGTGCTAGGAAAACTGCTGCTATGCAAGCTAAATAGACAGCATGAAAAATGCAAGAATTATACCATTCCTTTTACTGAGGGTTGGTTAACAAGAAGAAACCAACATAATAATTTATTAGCCTAAAATAATTCTCCATAGCTATTGTGTGACATGAACCAGACATTATTTTACAAACCACAGAGAGCTCAAATATTGTGTGGATGTCTTCTAGCAGATCTGATAAATTCGTTTTTGTAACTGTTTCATCTGGTACCAAATTTGTTTGAAATAGTTTACACAGATCACTTAAGTCTTTGCCATTGGTGAGTATTAAAGGAAAAGACTAAACAGGTTTATCACCTCATACATCAGAGGTGGTTGGAGCAACCCTTCTGTCTGCATCATGCTACTACGCTTCAATACACAACAGAAGTTCAAGCCTTGCCACTTTCATTTTTTGCATGATACACCACATGTAGCCCTGACTTGAGCGTAACCACATTATAAAACTATACAAATTATATATATACACGAACTTCAAAATATATAAAAAAACAAAAAGATTACTTAAAGGAAGGACTTGTTTACTTGTTAAATTTACAAACCTGTGCAAAAATCTTTACTAGCCTTGCATTGTGTGTCGGCCTTATTTGTAGGTATTCTCTCCACCACTGTTTAGCATATACAAGAAATAATCGTTCTTTTTCTGCTGTTTTCTGACGTTCCAAAGCAAACTGCAGCAAAGAAAAACATAACCAGTCACGTATGTATTAATTCCAAACAGAAAAACCAACCAACAAAACACCACAATCAAAAACTCATCATTAATAAGTACATTAACACTAAATCTTGGCATATGTAAAATAAAGCTTAATATTTAAACTGTGCCATGCAAATGCTGAAGCATAGTATTTTTAAATGAAAATTTAGCAAACAAAATCCTCAAGTTACATTTGCTGTAGGCTTGATTGAAGTAGTGTTCTTCTTAAGTGATGCATTTCTTAACAGAAGGATTGCTCAGCTTTGATGTACAGAACAACATCTGCATGCACTTTCAGGCCAACATATACTGGCTTTCCAGGCAGAACAGCTGCCTAGAAATTACTGTTTTGAGTGGGAAAGAGAGCAAGAAAACATACACTACCTGAAGAAAATTATGTATATTATATCTTTCTTATTTTTCTTCTTAAAGTTTTGATACATGTAATTAGAAGAACTACTAAAGTAGTATTTCAAAGAATGTAATGTTCTCTATAAACAAAGTAGTTTAAAAACAGGTACTTAAATGTAATGGACAAAAAGAAGTATTAACATTCAAAAACACACAGCCCTAAACATCTACATGTAACTATATACATAGCTTCCCCTGTCCAATAAAAGAATAAGTCAGCCCTCCCAGAAATTACTTACTTGAGTATTAGTTACTTCTGGAGACTGTGTCTTAGTAAGCTGTGGATACATTTCCAGTCTGATGTTTAAAACACCAACAGAAACCTTTGATTCTGTACCTTCGAACCAAAATAAATTTTGATCAGTTCTCTTGAATTTTATTTACTTAGGACATTTCAGCCAGGCAGGAGCAAATAATTAAAATAAACGTGAGCTATATAATCACAAAAAATAACTACTTTAAATATATGCAAAATAAACACATTTAAACTTCAAAACTGAAATGATGCTGTAAGAAAGCATAAACTGGCCAAAAGCAGATATCTAGATCTGAAATAATTAACCAAGGCTCTCTTTTCAACCAGTACCGGGACATATGAGATGAATGGCATTCTAGAAACATTTCAAATCAGCATCTAAAATAGGGTATGAGAATCACACACTGTAAAAGAGCCTATTCCTG